TCTCTCTCTCTCTCTCTCTCTCTCTAGCAAAGGTGAAACGATCAAATACGTTTAACTTGTTAGATATGTAGAATGTTCCAAAGAAATAAAGCGTAAAATTTTAAAGACTAAAGAAAGTTTCAATATAATCTAAATATAAGCCCAAATCCTGAAAAATAGAAACATCTCAATAAAAAAAAAACTTTGGGCGGCACTGCACGACCGTGCTCTATGGACGAACCACGCCTGTCAGGGGCGGCTCGTGGGGCTAAAAAGTGGACGTGCACAATTAAGCTATCGCAAGCTGAAGATAGTCAAGGGCATAGTAAATGAGACGGTGTATATTTTTAAGATCTTTGGGTTGGTGAGGGAGGACTCCGTGCTTTTATTTTCATTCTTTTTACTTGTCGCTTTGATTTCTGGTACCAAATTTGTTTGTTAGCTAAACATCAATTTCATTCACCCTGTATTGGAACTGAACACTCAAGTAATAACTTTCACTACTCCACTACAAAACCATTCAAAGGCACAACTCATAGGACAGTCACGATCACCTCCCCAAGGTTCACGTCACAGAGTCACTTTAAAAATTGGCAAGACAGACAATGAACCAATCACAATTCATTTGAGCACTCCGCTGGATTGCTCCGGGGCTCACATAATATTGGCAAAGAATAGCGTACGGTCAATCGCGTTTATTTTTAGACCTCCTACTGTGGACTATGTTCCGGCACTGTTCGGCAGGAGCACATTTGAGATGTGCCGTCTTATTAATATTAATGTACCGCCAAACTCGCTATGAGTGTCGTCATCGCTTGGGTTATCCCCAAGAGCGATCTATAGGTCAGGTTACACTGTTGAATATCCTATTATGTTTAAATAAAGCGCGTGGACTTTCGCATGGCATAGTAGATGTTTTACGGCGCTATAGACACAAAAATGACAGTTATGGCGCTAGTGAGGACCTTGTTTTGATACAATATTTGGCTAGTGTTTGTTTCTGGCTTCTTTTATTTTATTATTGTGGGTGTTTCACGTTATAGAACATTAAACAATTGTGGGCGGCACTGCACGATCATGCTCTATGGACGAACCGCGCCTGAAGGCTCTTGAAAACTATCTCTGCCTCTTACATCTCTCTACATAAACTTGGCTTGAGTGAAAAAGCGAGTGAGAACCTCAATATTGGATGGCTTGATTTCATGTGCTCATTGTCAGTTTAGATCTGAGCGTAGACTTAGGTACGTTCATGGTAGGCTAGAGAAGAGCTTTTCACACACATATTACATGACCTTCGCAGTTGCGAGCGCCGTAGAGCAACCTGCATGATAGGCCTTGGCCTTGCTGATAGGGGATAAAATGGATTGGAGTTTAAAAGAACTAAATGACGGCAACCACTGAACCCCCAATTGAAAGTGATATCTATCTATCTATCTATTTATCTATCTATCTATCTATCTATCTATCTATCTATCTATCTACATAAATAATATACATGTGTATATATATATATATATATATATATATATATATATATATATATATATATATATATATATATATATATATATATATATATATATATATATATATGTATATAGATAGATAGATATATATTTATATAGATAAGCTCATACAAAAAAAGAAACACCGTTTTCATACTAATTTATATTACAAAGTAGTGTACACTGTACACCAATCTCCCGGGTCTTATAACTCCTAGGCCTATTTCGTTTCTTCTCTCGTAGAAGTTTTTGCCTTACATCGTTGTCTCCAGCACACTGTACCCGATCAAATTGTAAATAAAGTCGGTTTGAACAAGTCACAGCATCTCACCGTTCAAAATGAAATCTAAATCTTGATCATGCGTTTGTTATTGGTCGTGATTTCGATCTGTTAAATGGATGTTGTGCAAGATATGTGAAGGTGCTCTACCATCAGTTTCTAGATCTATAGCTGTGCAAATTGACTTGTGTACAAGGCTATCAAGGTTGGTGCACCGTGCTGCCGCCCGTTCTCTCTCAGCTCTCTCTCTCTCTTCTGGCGCTGTGGCTTCATAAGCGGTCAGCGATGCCGACAGCACGCAGGGACTCAACACTCGCCCGGGGGTCCTTAAATGTGTGCCGCCCGTTCTGTATGAGTATGAAGTATGATCAGTAGGCCTTTTTTGTGTCGTGTCAGGGTTAGTAGAATAGAACATAAAAAGAGCGAGCACCTAGCACACCTCTGTGATTGGTGGCTCAAATATAGATGATGTAGTTCCGCCTTCTATTTTTGCCGTCTTCCAGGGCTTCCCTCGACAGTTGACTAGATTACACTGAGGCGGGCCTGCTTTGCCGCATAGCGCGCGATGGGCAACGTCACTACATCTAGGGTTCATCGCTGACTGCTTGGATTGTGTGTGTGTGTGTGTATGCGCGCGCTTGTGTGTGTGTGTGTGTGTATGTGCGCGTGCACGTGTGTGTGTGTTGTATGTGTGTGTGCGCGCACGCGCATGTGGCATGTGTGTACAACTTTGTCATTTGAGGAGAAGGTTAATTAGAATTTTGCTGAAATTGTTTTATAAAAAAAACCCCCCCCCCCCCCCCCCCCCCCCCCCAACCCCAACAAACATGGCAAGGTCTTGTGAACAGTAAAGTTACTGGGGAGGGAAACCCAAATGTCTTGGGGGAAACCCCAAAAGACGACCAAAATAGATGGCGGAAATACGTTATGGGGCCAATCACAGAGATGTTCTAGGTGTTCGCTGCAGCTTCATGTGTTAGTGGTAGTAGTGGTAGCCGAGAGTAGTAGCCTACAAGATAAGCATATTATTTTAAAGTTTTTTGTTAGATAGTCTAAGCCAACCCAACATCACGACCTAACTAAGTACCTGACTGTCTTTAGTCTTTACAGTAGCTTGTGATGAAGTAATAGAATCTATTATATTTATATTCTCTAGTTTAAAAAATTAAATTCTTGGGATCCAGTTTTGATCCAAAAGATTTTTTACACTAATTTACACTAACCTATATTAGAATCCAAAAATCCTGCAATGCTACCACTACTAACCCTGACCCTGTAGCATAGTAAAGTTACAATTGATTGATATTTAATTAAACACTTAGGGCGAATAGGCCAATGGTAATTGTATACATATGAAATCACTTCAATATATAGCCTTTATATCTCTCTATGTGTATGATGAATGAGGCCTAAAGGTTTCAATCTCAGACAAACACACACACACACACGCACACACCTTGTCGGATTTGGGAGGTACGGGTTAGGCAGGGTAGGGATAGGGCCTACCCTAGGCTTGCCTACCGCTCCTATCGTTTTAACCTAAAACCCTAACCCTCAGGCATACCTCATACCTCATTACCCAAATCCAGATAATCATAATGTTTAAATATAGAACCTGTGCATCGGGAACAATGCTGAAGTTTACCCTCAAAGTTGCAAATAACAAGTTCTGTAACGACCTAACACCTGGCAACTACTTACACAACAATTCTTATTTAAGGGCACTCTCCTCCCAACCTCACACCAGATATATGGCACTGCCTTAGACTCACATGCATGATTCTAGGTAGGGGCAGCTTGTGGGGCTTAAAAGTGGGCATGCACAATTAAGCTATCTTAGGCTGAAGATAGTCAAGGGCATAGTAAATTGGATGGTGTATAATTTCAGGATCTTTGGGTTGGTGAAGGAGGACCTTATAATGCTTTTATTTTAATTCTTTTTACTTGTGGCTTTGATTTCTAGAACTCAATTTGTTTGTTAGCTAAACATCAAATTCGTTCATCCTGCATTAGAACTGGACACTGCGGTAATAACTTTCACCACTCCACTACAAAACCATTCAAAGGTACAACCCGTAGGACGGTGACTTAAGTTCTCGTTCACCTCCCCAGGTTCACGGTCACAGAGTCACTTAAAATAGCGGCAAGACAATGAACCAATCATAATTCACTTGAGCACTCCGCTGGATTGCTCCGAGGCTCACATACTTTTAGCATTGATTAGTGTACAGTCTATTGTGTGTATTTTTAGACTGCCTACTGTGGGCTATGTATCGGCACTATTCGATGGGAGATTCGGTATTTGAGATGTGCCGGCTTAAATAATATTAATGTACCGCCAAACTCGCTACGAGTGTCGTCATCGTTTGGGTTATCCCAAAGAATGATTTATAGGTCAGGTTACCACAGTTGAATATCCTATTGTGTTTAGTTAAAGGGCATGGACTGTGGCATGGCATAGTAGATGTTTTACAGCGATATAGACACAGAAAGGACAGTTACGGCGCCAGTCAGGACCTTGTTTTGATATTATATTCAGCCAGTGCTTGTTTCTTGCTTCTTTTATTTTATGTTTGTGGGTGCTTTACGAAATAGAATATTTTAAAATTTTGGGCGGCACTGCACAACTGTGCTCTATGGACGAACCGCGCCTGACTCTAGTACATGCCCACAACTTAAAAAAAAACGTTTATGTGGTTTCTTGCTTCTAAAGCTGTGCTTCAAAAGCTGTGACTATCCTACTGCTACCTCTTCCTGTTTTTATTTCAGTTTCCTCTTCCTGTTGCTCTATATAATATAATGTTATACTAGCTTATCATGTTGTTTCTCTTTCCAGTAGTGTGTATCAGTGTGTAGATTAATTTTTGGCAATACAGTCAAACCTGCTTTAACAGCAACCTGTCCAAGACGATCACCTGTACTAATGAACACTTCCCGCTTTCCCCCCTTTCGTTTATTATAATTATAATGACACTGTCCAAGACGTTCATCTGTTTAAGACAACCACTTTTTTTTCAACTATGAGTGGCCATCTTGGACAATTTTGACTGTAGTTCCATGTATATATATCAATTTGAACTTCCAATATAGAATAATTTATCATGAATACCAATTCTGTCTAACTAAAAGCCTGACACTGCTAACCTTATGGTTTTTTCCTTCTTCTCCATCACCGTTTCTTTTTTCCTTTTTCTTCAAGTTTTCCTTCCTATATTTGTCCTTATTTCTCTTCTTTTTATTTCTTCCTCTCTTCTGAAATGGTAGATTTTTAGGTATAATTAATCATAAGACAGCAGAAGTACCTTAAATAGTAAACATAAACAGAAGTTACCCCCCCTCCCTCCCCCCAGCCCTTCCCCTCCCTAGTCTCCTGTATCCTGAGCTTCCCTGTTGCCCTACTCCCTTCTCTCAAAGTTTTCCAGCTAGCTATCATTTGAAGCTACTGCTATCCTTATATTTTATTTATTGTTAATTTTATGGTATTTAATACAATAATTTGATATTGTGAATACCATTTCCAATTTTTTTCCTGGCGCTGGACCAATCTTTTAAAATGTAACTCAGATTCCTGTTTAACAGTCTTTGTTTATGCATCTCTTTATAAACAGATTCAGAACTTGAAAGTATGCGCTCACACTACTGATGATGGTGAAGAAAGGGGTAACACATGGAAAAGAGTCAAAGGTGATCCATGATAATTAGGCATACATTCTTTTTTGACTTGTTTTACATAACTGTGAACTGTTTTTCCGTGAAAATCATTCAAAATGTTCATGTTAGTCATGTTTTTAATTCCCTCGTCTTTTCTGAGAGGGATATTCAGTATGGTGTATTAGTATGACAGTGTACGAAACACAATTCAGAAAAGGATTATATATATATATACATATATATATAAAATGTTTTTTTTGTGTTTTGATTAAGATGCTATCCTAGTGAAAGATTATAAATATTAAGTGGAAAAATATCTCAGCTTCACTTTGATCTTGTTATATTTTTGTACCTTTCTTTGGATGTAGAGCACCTGTACCGACATATTTTGTGCCATGACAATGGAAACCACGGTGAAAATAAATGAGCATGTATTGAAAATATAAATATTTGAGTTTTATTAAAATTGGCATTTATGATGCTCGTTCATACAATACCAGGTTGTAAAAGCTAAGCTGACTGCAAGTGGCCGCAAACCGAATGAAAATGGACGAATATCGAAAAGGTGAAGTTTTTTCTTTTGTTTCATATCCATGCATAAAATAGAAAGCCTGTTTTATTTCTTTTTTTCTTTGTGATGATGAAAAAACGCCCCCACTGTGGTCCTGTGTGTTTGACATTTGTCAGTGTGTATTCAAAGATGATTGATTTATGTTGTGGAAGGGATGTTATAAAATATTGTGTATCTCTCTATTAGCTCAGTTTATGCGTGTGTCCTTGTAATTGTGTTTTTTAAAAAGAGAGAGAGAGAGAGAGAGAGAGAGAGAGAGAGAGAGAGGGAGAGGGAGAGGGAGAGGGAGAGAGAGAGAGAGAGAGAGAGAGAGAGAGATTGTGTCTTCCAGAACCGTTTCCAGCTGAAGCAAAGTTTCACCTGCTCCTAATTCGGGCGTTATCTCTGTTCTAGACTTCTCTCCATAACTTGATTTCTCTTGCTCTCTACTTTCAGGTCGGCCAGCACTTCCCAAGTGGCAGCAGCATCTAGGAGCCAGCGGCCGCCACGTTCTACTGCTGGGTTCTCTCTCTACTCCTCGGACTCAGAGCTGGAGGAGAAAGGCCTCGTCAGGACATCATCAAAATCCAAGTGTAATTCTTTTGATTGCTTAAGAAAGACAAAGAGAACAATAAGACATTCCTTTAAAATATCATAAGTGTCAAGACAGAATGATTTTCATATGAATTAGACATCAATATCAACCGTATTTGACCACCCTCATTAGTACAATGGCAACTAGATATTGTGCAGTTTCTGTGCCATTTTGATGTGCGTTTATTTCAATTTGTTCACAAGTGCTCTTTACCGAACTGTAAATAGTTTAGCCCTCTGAGAAATAGAGATATTTGACTTTGAAAATATTGTCAGTAATGGGCAAAAAAGTGTGGCTAATGCTTTTGTTTGTTCTTTTAGTTTTTTCTTGTTGGTAGTTAATGGGTACCCTGGTTTGGTCAGTTCCATATACTTCTTTGTCAGTGTTGGCGTTATCCTTATTTGATTTGTATGTCAGTATGGTTTGAGAGCATCTTTGGTAAGTCCAAGTTCTTTTCTCTCCCTCGTCTTTTGCATTTGTCTTCCTTGCTTTTTCCCCATCACTTCATGACCATTTTCATGTTGATGTGCTTGTCTTTATACCAAAAAATTGTAAACCATTCAGAATACAATTTGAAGACTTTTATTTTTCCACCTGATGTTTCTGTCTGTCTATTTTGTATTTTCCCGTCACTAAATGTATGCCTCTCATTGTTTGAACTAAAACCATTCAAAATATGGCTGTTATAATGTCAGTATGCTTCTTTTACTTGAACTAGAACCACCTGAAATATTACTATGATTGTTTGGATGTACTTCTCTTTATAAGAAATAACACCATTAGCTATATAGTCGTTGGATGACCACAAATCTCCCGTACTTTTAATTTCAGCTGCTAGTGGAGAGGCAGTGAAGAAAGCAGGTCCTTTGTCTAAGACGCACATTTCTGGAGGGGAAGATGTGGTGTCCCAGATGCAAGTGGTGGAAGATAGGGTTGCCGCAGGGCAGGCAGCCGATGGCATCATTATTCCCACTGCAGGAATAGACAGTACGTGAAATGTTTCTGTGCCCTTTTTGTTGATGAAAGAGATATAGGATAAATGACAATTCTATTCCAAGAATTTGAAAAGCCTTATAGATTTTTTTCTTTCTGTTTATACATTTGTTTTGTGTTTGATGACTTCAATATCTTTGATTAATTTTCAAATCACATGATTTATGTTTCTGTTACAGTCAAGCTTTCTATCAAGGAAACCCAATAGGAAAAACAAGTGACTTGTGTTTTGGCAGGGTTAAACCTTAGCATTGAATATCCCAAATTGCAGGATCTCTTTTGATAATTTCTTCATCCTGTCCCTACCACAGACAATACACTATACTGCAACAAAGAACAGATGTTGAAGACCTTCACCTTCTTTACCATGGCACTGTGTCGAACGGCATCGGCTCAGAGATTACTGGATTAACAACAGGAAGAAAAAGAACACAGCCGTTGCATTTTTGAAAGGTTTTTTTTTGGCAGAGTTGAACTGGAATGAGTTGAACTCAAAGTCAGTATCTTCGTACTTTCTTTCTTGTCAGGTCCACTTGAGAGAAGCTATCTGAGGGATGAAGAGCTGTTTGAGGTGAGCACACCATTCAACAAGAGGCTGATCTCTTCCACCCCGGATCCCGAGCGACTGGCGGAGGCAGAGCTGATGGAACAGGAGGAGAGAAGTCTGCGCGTCCGGTCGCAGTCACAGGGGGCGTGGCAGCACGAGAACCCAGGTATGGTTTGACCATGTTCAGATAGGATTATGTGGACTTGTAAATGATTCTTGTGAAAATTTGGTAGTTGGAGCTCAATTTGATTACTTGATTACGGGAACAACATCATAGCACTCTGGGCATTGCCATACGTGCTCCGCTCCCCGCTCTGATATCCACCTCAGAGTCCATCTGCTGATCGTTGCGGTGTTCATTTGGTTAATAACCCGTAAATTCGGGGCCCTGGTCGTAAAGGTTGTAAGTGGTAGTAAATTTGCCTTGAAGGTAGTAAACGTATTGGTAAACGGTCGTAAATTAGCGTGCCTACTGAGTTATGAAGCCAGCAAGACTTTTCAGACCAGTGAACCCTAGCCGCGGTACATGACTCTGTTTTTGCCGGTCGCGATTGTGATATAATATTCGTTCACATTTTCCCCGTCCGAGAGTACGTTTCACACAAAAAAGGTGGCTATGGCGGCAGGCGAAAGTGTATGTGACACCGAGGCTTGATCGGGACAATCAAGATCTACTTTCGCTTTCGTAACTACCCCAAAATATGCCGGCGATAGAAAGATAACACAACATTTGTGACATGCAGGTTGTGCTGTATAAACGCTGTGTCGCCGTGCAAATAAAATTAATCATTACTCGGACTCGTTACCGTGCTGTCACTTGTGTGTATGTGTGTGGGGGGGGGGGGGGGGGGGGGAGAAAACAAGCGTCTTCCGATTTTTAGATTATTGGGTTTGCTATCGGGACAGGTCAGTGAACCTTCGCGCGTGGCACCATGAGATACGGCATCGGTGAGCACCGGCGTTTGTTGGTGTCGCCAATGGGGCAGGGATTATTGATTTTTTTTTTAGAGATACGTTCGGGGGAGGGGAGAGGGACTGAAGGCAACACCAGAGGACAAAAACTTGTAAGCAAATTTCAGAATTTTAATTAGATGAAGAGCCCTCTGCAAAGCGCGCGTTGGTGCAGGCCTTATGTGGAATCAGGATCCTTCATACCTTGTAAGCCGTGTTATTGAAATGAAAGTGTTCACATTTCATTTGTTTGGTGATAGTAAATTAGAACAATATTGTAGCTTTCTTTTCAAGACTGCCGATTTTCAGTGTCACTGCATCTTACCCTTCCACAGTTCTTACACCTCTCTCACTGAATAGGTCTACTTCAGTCATTCAAGTTATTGCTCTACTTTTAGTTTGAGCAATAATTTTTGTCTTTCTCGTTCATAATATGAGTCATGACACCCAGACTGGTTCTTGACAGTAGAAATTCTTGTTCAAGGCCCCTCTGAACGCTCAAAGCAGGATTCATTTTCTAAATATGTAATAATGAGGGAAAAATACAATAACAGACTGAAATACTTAATGCGACCCCAGTGCGACACTGACATGTTGTTGACTTGATATATTTCACGTGAGTGTGTGTGTGTGTGTGTGTGTGTGTGTTGTTTTGTAACATGGCCCTGGAAAATGGATGACCCACTGGAAAATTGAGAAGCCGGTTTGGCATTCACCCTGTGTGTACACATTAGGTCTAAATCTACCCCCTCCCTCCTCCTACCACCACCAGGGCAGTGCTACAGACTGAAGCGTCTTTAGGCCATTCCCAAAGGGAGGACATGTTTTTATGCACAGTAGAATAGTAAATATGGGCTGATTTATCAATGTCATGCTCATACTGTGCTGGACCTACATAGGAGGAACTGCTGCTTTTTTCTGTCCTCTTCTTTACTATCGTCATTTTGCTCTACTTCTTTTGTATGTTTGTCACTCTTGTGAACTACTTTATCCGGGGTGCCTTGATAGTCGAAGCTTGTTCCCTTTTGGACTTCTCTGTTTACATCCATCCCTTGTCGCTCATATGACCTATGCTGTTGCAAACGCCGTAAAAACCTTACTTAAACTAAACCTAGTGGCGAGCAAGCTTGCGATCGTCTGTCTATCCTCCATTTTGGTGACTGGACTTTGTTGTGTGTTGTTTTCGTTCCATATAGCAAATAACTCCCTTTTTCGAGCTGGTGTGGAGCTTGATTTGCTGGGTAGTAAATTTTTTTCCTGGTAGTAAATTTTTTCATGAAATATTGCTGGACACCCTGATTTTAATGTCAGTATTGACAGGTGCATGGCTCGCCAGTTTGTCTTTTTGTTCATTTCCCAACACACCCGTATGGCTTGGAGCATAGATCCACGTTATTTTTCTCAATGTGGTTTCTTCTATGCTTTGCTGCCACTCTTTTCTCAGCATCCATTGTTTTCCAAAATCAGCTTATGAACTGGCACTGGTCCTAACTGGAACTGAAATAATTTCTAACCGGCATCTTTTTGCTCCATTATAACCTCGATTTGTGGTGTGTATGGGGCAGGGGGTGAAACAAATTACCGCTGAACGATAAAAACCTGCAAGCCAATTGTTACTGTAGCAGTAACGGATACAGCACAGATTTACTTTCAGCAAGTTAACTGTAAATTTCAGAACAAGTACTCAATTTATATAACTGTAATTCTTCTTTTTCCTTGAATTCCTTCTTCGTGTGTTAGAAGCTTCCTTCAAATAATGAGCGTGAGATATCTCTATGATAAATGACACTAGTGTTTGAATTATGAAAATCAAATAAGTATGAAAAATTGAAAAGAAGTAGAAACTGCAGACTACCCCAGAGCTCCCTTCAACCACCCCTCAATAGTGTAGGTGTTTTCTCACTGGGAAAAATTGTCATAGTTTTCGTCTCATGTCTTATTTATCAAGGTTTACAGTTGAGTCAGCGGGCGGAGCTCCCCCCTCAGATGATTCCAGAGAGGGACACCGGTCAAGCAGCCAGTGCGTCTGCCAAAGAGAAAAACTTCGACGGAGCTGTTGCTACTGATGCTTCTCCACGAGGCACTGTTGGGGTTGTAGATAAATCGGAGCGGTTGGGTGATGCTGCAAAAAGTGGCAGAGTTGTCCCTTTGATGGGATTGGTGTCCCAGATGCTACCGGATGGTCTCACCTCTGAGTTGTACGACAGACTGAGGCAGCAGCGACAACAGCATCAGGCCTCCCGCTCTGATGCAGAAAACTCAGCCCACGGTCTCTGGGAACAGCAGCTGCATATGTACAGAAAAGAGAATTCGAACTCGGTGACTCAAGGCAGCAGTTTGGTTTCTGATGCCAAATCAGGACAAGTCTCCTTTCTAAAAGTGGAAGGTGGTGCTAAAGACTCTTTGAATCTCGTGGCGGATAGGTTTGTTGACCCGAGTATCCGAGCTGAGTGGGTGATGGAGGTCAGTGATTCTTCTGGACAGAGCAGCAATGCTTCGTCAACCTCCGTTCAAAGTGCCAATCTGTATCAGCATTCTAAAGGAGAAAGAAGTTGGGATATTCTGAAGATGAATTCGGCTTCAGATATCAGGACAGTAAAAACATTTGGTCAACCACAGCGACATGAGAGCTCAATTGTTAAGCAGAAAATGGCCCTTGATAACTCAAGAAGTGCTAAATCGTCTCCTAGGCCACTGACAAAAGAGATTCAGAGATCATCTCAAAGAAATACATCGTCCAGGAGTTCAGTTCAATCTACAACTGAGCAGACAGGAGGAAAATCAAAAAGTAAAGTAACAGGAAAGCCTCAGACAGCATCAGCGAGCACGCCTGACACGTCCAGTAATTCAGCTCCTCTCCAGAAGTCAAACAGCCAAAGTCGGAAAGCGATATTGCAGAAATCCAGACCTCCTCAGAGCAATGCAGTGCTAAAGGTTAGTGGGTCAAAAGTGAGACCCCCTGAAAGGCAGGTAGATCCTAGAGGAGAAGATGTTCCCCCAAGCTGTAGCCCGTCAGAGGTCGACTCGGTCTACCATTCTGCAAGTCACCACACTGCCTCACCCCACAGTAAGGCGAGTGACAAAGGACTTCATGTGTCCGCCTTTAAGCCAATCTCTTCGGAGGACACAGCTGTTGGGAGTTCAGTTCAGAAATTTCAAGAAGACATTATTCCACCATTCAATTTGTCTGCTGATACCTGCGATGAAGAAGTTAGTAGAGCCATAAGTAAAGGTGAAGTTAATTGTGAGATGCAAAATCAGCAGGTCAATGGTCATTTGGCGACCCCTGCAAGGTCAGACACTTCTTCCTCTGATGGGAACAATTTGAGCCAAGTCATTGAGCTTCTCAAGACAGAGGCTTTTGCTGTGAGAAAAGACCGTGGTCCTGTAGCGCAAGTCACAGATGATGATGAACGGGCAGAGTCTGCAGGAAAATGTGAGAGGGACCAGGCAGAAGACACTGGGCGGGGCGGAGCTAGTAGTGAGGAGGATAGAGACAGCGGCATGGCAAGCAATCTGCAAAGTCCAGGAAGAAAATTACAAGCCACGAGAGAAAAGGAAGTCCCCAGGCCTGAAGAGAAAACGGATTATTGTTTAAACGAAAGTGCAGAAAACTACAAACTTCATTCCGTTACAAACGCGGACGATGCTTCGGGAGCACAGCAGAAGTCTAATTCAGCATCTGGGGATCCTGGTGATCAAGGTGGAAATGAGAATAATAACAACCGGAAAGAGAGTGAAAATGATGTAAATCAGAACTGTAATGATGATCCGTCCTTGACGCCCCAGAGGCCTCGAAACCTGGAGTATCTGGATAAGATGGCTGACCCCTACTTGAGAGACGTTGCCTGCAGACTGGCTTTTAAAGCAGCGGCTATTCGTAAGTGAATTATTTCCTTTCACATTTACGTATCAAATTTGTTGTAATTAAGTAAACCGAATTGCCCTTCTGAGATCAATAAAAGTGTAATTTATTATTATTTTATTATTACTTATTTATTTTTATTTTATTATTATTTATTAAGTTTTTAAAGTACACTTCGTAACATGTACAAAGAAGTTTTAAATTTCATTTTGCTGCATAAGTAAGTTTCTTGATTTGATATTCTACATAAAGGTTTAAATGTTGAACATATTGTTCAATTACTCTTCTCTCTTCTTCTGATGCAAATAGTTTTCTTTTTTTGTTGCTTAGAGTTCATTCCAAGTTTTCTCTACTTGTGATATGTTTATGAGTCATTAGCCTTGCTTAAACAGTTTATACCCATTTTGTGTATTTTTTACCCTCTCTAGGTTTGACATTGTAGTAAACATAGAACAGATCAATGAAACAAAAAGGTTCTGTTTATTCAACCAGGACGCTCAGTGTTAACTGAAACTTTTTACAATAAAGTTTAGAAAAATATGGTTTTACTTTGATTTGTACTTAATCCTTTTTGTCCAAATTTGTACTATCTATCCAAGCAGTTGTCTGATAAGGTATCCTGGACTGGCTTTCTCTTGCCTTCAAGTCAAAATGATAGAATAGAGTGAACTTTTAAGTAAATGCTTGAAAATCTTTTTCCTAAGTTGCTACTGTTGACTGCAAGACACTTTTTTAGATCATGTTTTCATTTCTCCTGTCTGAAAAATCAGTAGACAGGTATTTCTGATTAAGCAGCTGGTTAAGCTTTCCCTTTCTCTTCTTGTCTCTTATACATAGGTGATGTGGAGCTGAGGGACTTAATAGACGACATGATTTTCCACACGGATGCAGCCCTTGCACACGAAGATGCTCGCTTTCATTCCTCTCAGATGTTCTTTGCTGAGGAGAACAGTAAGCTAAAGAAGTAAGGTTCTTTCTTTATATTTTTAGTCCATTTTCTTGCTTTTGTTCGATTTGCACATGATCTAAGTCAACAAATTGTATTGTTTCCCTTTTTTGTTATTGTCCCATGTGTTTTGTTTTTATTGTCACAAGAATTACTTAGCTGTTGCTCAAATCTGTAAAAAAAATTCTTCGTTATCTTGAAAATGTGCTGCTTTTATTTGAGAGGGCTTTAATTCAAACCCTGATTGTAAAATACTGTATCAGATGTTTGATAATCATTGCTTTTAACGACGATGCTCTGGCTTTCTCTAATTCCTTGCATTGTTTTCGCACTGTTTCCAATGAAGGCGTGTGCACAATGTGAATCGTCAGCTAGAAGCGAAAGAAAGGCAGGAGAGGATGGGAGGAAACATCTTGGGAACGTCCAACAATGATGGTGAGTTCCCTATTGTGAACAACTCTGCAGATATTGTTGTATCTATATGTTTGTATTTTGGTCGGCCTTATCCTGCCTTCCTGTCTGCCACTAGTACATCGTCGTCATCAGAAGATCGGATAACAGCAAAATTTTTAATTTCTTCAAAGCATGTTTCATATACTGGTTCAAAATTAATATTCAAATAAACAACCAAAAGTTGACGTCTTTAACAGTATTGTAACTGGAGAACTCTAAGCCGTCCTTTAAATAAATCAGATTTTTCCTTCTCCTGAAAAATTAACTTCCTAGCTTATCATAATCATCATCATCAATGCCTTTCACCCCTGGCAGGGTATAGGCCACATACAAGCTCCTTCCATTTATCTCTGTCCTGAGCCATCCTTCCAAGCTAGTTCCAAGTGAGCTTCAATTCTCTCATGTCCCTTTCCACGCATCTCCTCCATGTTTCCCGTGGCCTACCCCTGCCTCGTGCTCCTTGTGGGTTCCACTGCAGTGACTGTCTTGTGATGTTTCCGCTGGGCTTTCTTAAGGTGTGTCCCATCCATCGCCACTTTCTTAGTCCTATTTCTTCTTCTATATCCTTTTGTCCTGTCCTTTCCCACAGTTCTTCATTTCTTATTCTATCCTGCCACTTAATTCTTAGAATACTCCTCATACATCTGTTGATGAAAGTCTGGACTTTATTCAGTACTGTTTTCGTTGTCTTCCAAGTTTCGCAGCCGTAGAGGAGCACAGACTTGACGTTGGAGTTAAAGAGTCGAATCTTGGTGCGCAGCGAGATGTTGCTTGCTTTCCAGACTTTTGATAATTGCTTGAAGGCTGACCCTGCCTTGGCGGTTCTTGCTTTAACGTCTGCAGCTTATCATAATGGTGATGATATATTGGTCCCCCTCATTCATTTGTGACAGACATGAACATTCAATTCTTATAGCCTAGTAATCACTTGTGACCGAAATAGACAAGGAGACATGATATATACTTCCTGTAGTGCCTTTTATGAGTGGGGAGGCTGAGGGAGGGACATATGTTATCTTTTTGAGACCACAAAACTCATTTTGATGCAGACTCGAGTAAAATAGGAAACAAGTGGATTAAAAAAAAAAAGTCATGCTTCTTATTATCTGAATAAACAAGCAGAATTTTTCATATCAGGATATGAAGTTGAAGGCTTTTTTCCCCCTGAATGTGTATTGATAACAAGAATAACCAGAAATGGGGTGATCTGGAATCTCTACTGTTGGAGAAACAGAGAGGCTGAAAAAAATAGTGCAGAGGAAGATGGAGGCAGATGCCCAAAAAATTGGAATTGCTAGATGACCTGTACTTGTATGGAATTGAAAGAGAGAGAGATAGATAGAGAGAGAGAGATAGAGAGATAGATAGAGAGAGAGAGATAAAGAGAGAGAGAGAAATAGAGAGAGAGAGAAAGAGAGAGAGAGAGAGAGAGAGAGAGAGAGAGAGAGAGAGAGAGAGAGAGATAAAGAGAGAGAGAGATAGATAGAGAGAGAGAGAGAGATCAGCCTGTTGTCTTGATTTGTTCCATTGCTATATGGCATTCACCATTACCATATCCGTCTTAAACCACTAACAATAGATCTTTTTCTATTCAGTACTACACTTGGAGAGAAAGTGCATGTACCTGCAGCAAGAGAAGGACCGACTGGACAGTCAAGTGACCAACCTACTGCAGGAGAAGGCTCAGTGGCTCATGACTCAACAGGATTTGGTCAGAACTATCAGCATGAAGGTGAGTGCAGAGAGGGAGGATTACTGGAGGCAACATCTATATTTTTGTGTGTTTGATACTTTAAGTGAGTGACATATCTTGTAATATGAAGAGCGGAAGCAAAGATTATTGTAAAGGAACATCTGTTTGGATGTGGAACAAACTGTTTTCAGTAGAGTTTCAAATAGATTGCAGAGGAAGTGTTTCTATGAGAGTGAATCATCTTTTACTGTATGATATTTGATTATAACTTTTGAAAGAGAATAATTTTAAAAATGATTTTAAGAAAACCCTTATAACATGAACTTCAAAGGACCAGACATTTTTTTAGCATTGAACTGATTTCATGTTTGATTAAGTTGCAATGTATAAAAAAAAGGGAACTTCTCCCAGGGATTTGAAAAGCTTTCATGGTAACAGGAATTTCGTGTCAAACCGCTTTGTGATAAATAAAGTCTACTGTACTTACTTTATGTCTCAAATTCTGTTTCCTTCCATTCTGTTTCGGTGCAGGATCATGAAATTTTGAAACTGGAAGAGAAGCAGCAGGCTGAGAGGATGCGTCTGCATCAGGCTCTGGACCAGGCCACCAAGAACTCTCAGGGAATCCACTACAAGCTCTCAGGTCAGCCTGGGTCAAGCTTCTGTTTTTTGTTTGTCTGTTGGCATTACTGGGTGAGGTGTTGGCTGCTGCACTCAGGGTTTTCCTTTTGCTTTTACAGTATAACACGGATAGCTTGAATTCGTCGGGACCAGCCTCGGTAGTTCGAGGGATATCTTACGAAGATAAAGAGGAAAAAAACCAACAACCCGGGACAACAAGCACAGTAGACGGATGCGTGATTTCGAGCCTTCTGTGTTCGCCTTGTCTGTGCTTTACTGTATTTTATTTTTGTCCTGGCTCGTCACACTCATTATAAGATTATAAGACTGGCTGACCAAGGCAGAGTAAATTTTACAGAAGCATAAAAGTATTCTGGTTTCATGACACAGCAACATGTTGGCTGGCATGATGCTCAGCTTTATTTCTAAGATTTTATGAGTATTTCTAGTAAAAATTCAGACCTGATGTTGTGAGCGCCATAAGACCCCATACTAAACTAACTAATCTGACCTGTTTTTTGACTGAGCACATGAAGTAGATAATTTGCTATTTATTCGTCTTATAAAAAAAGATTGGTTATTTATGGGTTTCCTTGTTTTTTGACTAGGGTGACAGTATACTCGTATGTCCTCCCCATACAAGGACAAATTTGTTCATGTCTTGTGACAGTATGTTTTCTGGTCCCTGGGATTTCTTTCTTTTATGCTGTTTAAGATAAGGCCATATGTTTACTTTGTTTCAAAATCTAGTTTGTGCATGTTATGTTTTTTTGTTCACGTTTAACTTGATAATTACTCTCATATAGGACTGGAAAGTGCCCCTCATATGTATTTCTGTTTTTCATGCTATTTGAGTGTCTCGTCTTATTTCAATTAGTTCTCTATGACCATGCTTTAAAAAGATAATTTATCACTGAAAAATAAATTGACTGATTTAAAAAATGTGCAGTTTCAGAATTGTTTTTCAGGAGTCACCATAACCTTTTTTTTTTCTCAATAAAATGTACTGGTTGCTTATTTTGTGGAACTTTGCAAAGAGTTTTATCAGGTGCAGAAGTACATTAAACGTTTCATTTTTATTCATTTCTTTACTTCAGTAACTATTTTTTTTAGGGGGGTGGGGGTTGTATTTTAACAGTGTAGAGGACTAGATTAATGCTACCAGAATGTGAATTATTTTGTATTGGGTAAAAAAAAACTTTCATGTTTCATATTGCCTCGGTATCCTCATTTTGCATGATCTTGATTTCACCATTTCTCCATCTAGTGGCAGATAGGGAAATTGCGAATCTGGAGCAGAGGATGAAAGCGAAAGATGCTGAGATTGGGGAGTTGAAAGATAAACTTCTCAAAGGAGAAAAAGATCTCTCGCTGTGTGAAGAAAAGTCGAAAGAAAAGGGCAGAGAGATTGAACGACTTGAAAATCTTGTAGAGTAAGTCTAATAACAATGTATATGTTCATACACAATACCTTTAATGTAAATTGAGAGGATTATGTTAAACGTAAATAAAGATGATTACCGTAAATGTAATTTATCTAATGTCACCTGTTGGGGCATATTAAACATAACATGTGGCTTTTTTGTCATAATTGAGTTTGCTCAAAAAATAAAAAAATTTATAGATAGCAAAGAACGTACACTGAAAAATTTGGTACAGGCTGGTTAACTTCTCTGAGTGCTCTTTTGCAGTGTACGCTGAAGTTTTCCAACTTTGAAATAACCCATTTTGTGTATAATAGGGTGTTCAATGTTGCAAAAACCCAAACAAAATGAAGCTTGATACTATAGGGTAAAATGTGGTTTATTGGATTTTCCTTGCAGCACCCTCAAGCTAGGTGTGAATCAGGTACTGAGAGCGTACGAGGGCAGCGCTGATGGTGGCGGTCCCACAGAGCACCAACGACGGGGCATGGAGTCGCTACGTCTGATGGCACACCCAGAGCTTCTCAGGTACAATGTTCGTGGAGTTTATTTTCTTTATCCTGAGATTTGTGGAGTCAATGCAGTTTGTGCTAGTGTAGAGTGTAAAGTTTAAGTGAAAAGTGTGTTTAAGTGAGTTCTAAGTTATGTCTTTTGCTGCTTGTCTTATTTGCATGGCTTTCTAGTGAGGTCTAGTCCTACTTTTTTCAAATTTACTGTTGTAGTGTCGGTGTACTAGTGGTTAGGTTGCCAGACTACAACCATTTCTGGCCTGACATTGTGTTTTTGGAAAAGACATGTTATGCAAATGAAAGCTCCTTACTTTACCCAGCTGAAAATGGACAAGACTCTTGACATCCTGTAAATGAAGTTTGAACATTTGTTTTTCAAATTCATTGAGTTCACAGTTGCTGTGACTATTTTGAAATAGACCTTTTCTTGCCCCATACCAAATTGTAATCTTTCATGCAATTCCCCAGAGATGCTGAGGATAATCCTCCACGGCAGCATGTACAAAGCAGAAACAACTTTCCCACCCATGTTGCTCACGGCAGACCCAGCGGTAATAAGTCACGGCCCAGACCAGAAATATCTGACCGGAGACTTGATCCTCATGATTCTCGCTTCGATCGATTTATGGATGACGGACGGAGAGACTGGAGCAGACGACAGGAATCCCACGAGGCCTTCAGACATAGACGTCGCCACTCTGGAGGCAGCACAGCTGACTTTGGTAAGGAAATGACTTTACTGGTGCTCTGTCAAAAGCTAGTAAACTATGCTCCTGATTTATATTTACTGTTTTGGTTTAGTGCTCCTTTGAACAGTGCAAAGTTATTTAACTCTTTCTGTACTGAGCACCGATGTATTGCTGTCGTTTTTTACGCTTTGTAGTTGTGCTAATCAATTTTGATACATAAAGAGTTGAGCGGCAGGACCTTTGAACTTAACATCCATCTCCAATAAGACAGAGCGAAATAGGTGGAAAGCCTTGTAAACTCCCCAAGCAACATATGTTCAAGAATACTGCATTGAGGATTAGAACCAGGGTTAGCTGCTACTTTGCTCAGCTTAATACCAACAGAGCTGTTGGCAATTATTTGCAGTATTCTGAGCTGAAGCATCAAAGGACTGGATACACTAAAACATTTTTTTTCGTCATTATGTTGTGTTTTTGTACTAATGTTCATATCAATGTGTTCGTATTTCTAAAGAGATGTTTCTAAAAACGTATTTCTGTCCTGTATTTCCTCAGAGCATAGAGGAAGATACCTGACCAGTCAAGCTTTGGAGGAGCACAACAGGCAATTGTCTCCCTTCGATCGATCATTGTGGCGGAGTTGGAATGAAGGCCCGGTTGCTCCCCTTCCTGCTGGTCAAGAGCCATACTTTTCAGACTCTGAGATTGTTGTGAACAACAGGGACAGTCGAAGAAGGAGTGCCCACCGGGACAGAGAAGAGGTGTACCATGATCTTCAGCACGATTCTCTTTCTCGTAGACGTTCTCACAAGTCTCAGGACATGAGCTCAGGGAGGCATTTGTCTCAGGCGTCACATTCAGGACGGAGACTGTTTGATCACAGTGGGGCTCGCGATTCACAGAGAGATCTGCAGGAGGAATTTGAGAACAGAACAAGCGATGAAGGATGGCAAGGTGAAAGGGTGGAAAAGTTTTCCCGGTCATGGGATGGTAGTAGGAGGCGTGGTGACCAGGTTCAGAGACGTGTTGATGGTTTCAGTGAAAGGCAGCATGTGGAAAGAAGAGGGAGTGAATCGGATAAGAGAATAGGAAATGGCCAGTTTGAGGAGTTTGATGATGGGGAATATCATTCCTTGCCATCTCGTGAGACTGCGTCGCAGCAGATGCCAGCGAGGGATGTGAAGTTTCACTCTGCGCCATCACGTGGTGCTACTTCTTACCGGACACCTGCAGCACGTGATGTAAAATATAATTCGGTGCCATCAAGGGGGGCTGCCTTGCGCCAGGGTCCAGTGCATGATGGTCAGTTTCGCTCTGTGCCTCAACGAGAGAATGTGTTCCCCGAGGCGCTACAGCACGATGCAAAATTTCACTCTGTTCCATTAAGGGGGATGAGAGACAAGGAAAAAGACCGACTGCACCACAGCGCTCCTGATCGCTTGGACAAACAAGATAGGTCTAAGTGGCGTGACCTTTCTCAGTCCCTGCCAAACAGACACGTTGAATTTGTTGAAGATGTCAATGATGCTTATGAAGCAGATTCTGCAACTCTAGAATCACAGACTTTGTCACGTTGTGTCTCGGAGCAGAGTGAAGGGAGCGAACAGCAGTCTTTACTCCACGATCCTCGCTTGTCAGGCCAGGTTACTTTGGATACAACAAAGGACAGTGGGAGCTTACATGCACAAAACAGATTCACAGTCGAGGGACATCAGTCCGATAAACATGCAAAGTACTCATCCTCCAAACCGCCATCTTCTCCTGGCAGAAATGTCTCTCAGCGACACTCAAGTTCATTCCCCGAGGCTGCAGTCCATGACACCGTACCCTCATCAACTCAAAAGAAATCGTTCTCGTCTTTGAATCCCATGAGCTTCTCTCGCACATCAACTGATCAAGTAAAGCTGACTGGTAATCGTTCTGGTAAAAGTGATGATCTCTCAGCCTCTTTTCCTACTGTGTCAAATGATAAGCCTGGTTTCAGTGACAGTGGAGATGCTAGAGATGCTACCGCAAGGTCATTGGGCCATTATCAAAGCCATCACCATGACGATGCAAGCCGCAGCGGCCATGATGAGGAGCTTAAGTTCATGTCTCTTAGGTCCGAGCCTGCCTCATATACCCACAGTGATCATGAAGACAGTGGCAAGTGTAGAGGAAGCCATAAAGAACACAGCAGCCAACAACAGATATCACATGCAAGTTCTTCACGATCGCCAAAGTCGAGTGGTCAGTCTGGCAAAAGAGATTTCCTGTCAGCCTCCTATCCGTCCATGTCAAAAGCTCAATTCTACCCCGGTGACCGTGGAGGTGCTGGACAACTCTCCACCAGATCTGTGGGCGGCAGTCATTTCCAACAACACCGTGATGCAAAACTCAGCGGTTATGATGATAATGATCCCAAGTTCATGACTTTACGGTCCGAGCCTGCTGGTCATACGTATAATGATCATGAGTACAGTAGTCGGCGCGAACACAGTCGTGAAGATCGGGGTGGCCAACAGAACACACCACATACAAGCTCTAAAAGATCTTCGAAGTCCCACCCTAGGCACTCCTCCACGCAGGCAAATCCTGTGCCGGCAGTAAGAACATTCCGTCTGCAGGATGATACTGAAGAATCCCGACATTCTCGTGGTAATGTAGTCACATTTCAAGATCCCGATGAAGAAATTGATGACATTTTTACTAGTGTCGCTCCCGAGTTTGGGTCTGCACTCCTGTCTGGCAGATCGAGTGTCCCCAACCAAAGCTCACCGGTTCGCTTGTCTGACATTTCTTTGTCGCGCCGCGCAACGCTGGGAAGTGAGAATGTCTCTCAACGGGATTTTTTCCAGGGGACTGAACTCTCCGCGTCGCTCAGCTCCATATCGGATACAGAGGTTCAACAGGGCCAAGGCAGAAACAACAACAATAACGACGGAAATTCCAGTTTTGACGGGGACTCGTTCTCCACAGGTATAGCGACTCTGGACGCGAAGATCGCCAAACTGCAGGCAAAAATCAACCACACAAAGGCTGTGTTTTCGTGATTGTTTTTTCTCAATATGGTCCTGGAAACTCTGTCTTCTATCTCAGAAACTTTTGTTGAATTCAAAAGGTCAGACAATTGTAGGGTCAGAAGCACTTTGTCTTTTTTGTCTAGATGTATGGCACATGCACACTCACACAGGTACTCACATGCACACATGCCCAAACATACAATCACACAGATATACGCTCTCACAAACACACACACTCATCACAGACACACACACATACACAAGCTATAGTTTTGATGAATATTTCATTGTTTTTTTTTATTCTTCTCTTTTTTTACAAAGACCTCTTATATCTCAAACTTTTATTGTAAAAATTTCCCTTAAGAGGCATAATATTTAAGGAGCAGTCGCAAAGTACAATCATAAAATGCTTTAAAACTTTATGTAATTTTCCTCGCTTTACCCAGAGATGTGAACAGGTGCCTGGCAAGGACAGCGAAGGTCTTGACAAAAGTTGAAGTTTGAGTTTTTGCTAAATGGCAGCTTGAAATGATCGTTTCTTTAAAACTGAGAATATTTCAGAATGTGAGAGTGTCTGTTTAGAGTAACAATAAGTTGTAAAGAGCATAGTGGAATGTGTGCTATATGAATGCAATCTACAAACTGTCTCTAAAGTCTGAACACACAGGAAATTTCATTTACTACAAATTGATGGCAGTGTGAAGTTTTGCATTGAGTTCATGTGTATCTGGCAAAGTGCATCGGCCCTTGCAGTACAAAAGGAGGAAATCATTGGAGATGTTATTTGATTCTAACTGAAAATGTAATTATGCATTTCTTGAAAATACTGTGTGTATATTATTTTGCCTATGTGTCCAGACTTTAACAACATCCTGTATTATCTAGTCTTGTAAAAGATCTTGAGATGCATGGGGATATTTTGTACAAAATGTCTCCCTTGAAACAAGTGCCTTTTATGCACATTATGAGCTGAGTAAGAGTCTTGGCTATGGTGTGAATGATTAGAGTTCAAATCTTTGTTCTAGCTTCTATGAACCCAGTCTGCACAGAGAGTACAACTCTCCACCACACCCTACTTGCTACTCTAGGAAATACAAATAAAGAAGTCTTGCCTTTTAAATCTTATATCATTGTCCTGAAAGGGAGGTAGAACATAGACTCGTCAAGTTGCCTGTTTAACATATTTCTGGCCGAAAACTAATTCTACTGCTGTTTCTTTGATTTTATTTGATCTTATCTAAGAACGCACAATTTTGCTTTGGGCTTTCAATAAAGTGAAGACATCTGACCATTTGTATAATGGACACCTTCACTGAGATTCTGAAATTCCTACAGCTGTCAAAGTGAAAATCTCCATACGTGAAAATGTTTTACTGCATGTGTTATTTTTTTCTTATTTATAGTTCTTAAATTAAAAAAAAAAGACCTTTCTGCAATCTTGTGCAATCTCTAATAACAGTTAATGAACACTTACAAAAGGGTGTTGATTACTTCATGGAGGCAAAGATAAAACATCTTCCTTCCTCTCTGGACTCTCCTGTTGTGTGGTGATATTGTACTGAACATTGAAAAAACAAAAGAAAAACAGGGCTCTCATCAAAATACTGTGGTATATTTATCTATCAATATCATATGCCGTCCATTTTGTTTCCTGCGAAGAATATTTTTCTGTAATACATTGTATTATGTATTGTATAAGATTTTTAGAAAGCTGTTTTGATACGCATTTTTCTTTGTTGGTAATGAATAAATACAGCAATGACACTATGTTATTATATCAGGGTCACTGGTTTTTGTCTCGCCCACAATTTACTCAAACATAGATTTGTGTATTACATTGGGTTTCTTATTTTGGCAGAAGGATGCACATCTGAAATCCTAGACATCGTTACCTAGAGATACTGGGTTGGAGTCGGGATTTTTCACTGAAATCTAATCGAAGCGAACAGGTCCAGGGTGGTTCGAGGGTAGGGGGGGGGGGGGGGGGGGGTGTCAGACCCCGAGAGACTTATCTGGGAAACCTGAACAGATGGGTGACGGAGACACACTAGGACCTTGTGGGATTTTTGAGAGCATTTGAGTGGAGAAATGAATGGAGAACCATGTTCGCCGATGTCTGGCTCAGACTTGGCCCTTTATGATGAAAACTACTGTTGTAGTGCTATAGGACACAAAGGGAGGGTGCAGTGGCGGAGCGGTTAGTGCGTTCGTCTCCGAAGCGGAAAGTCCAGGCTCGAGCCTCGGTTCGGACACGGATTTTTTCGCCCCCTTCTGCCCGCCCAGCAGTAATGGGTACCTGACTTCGAGTTGGGGAAGTAAAGGCGGCATGGAAAGGAACTGGCCACCCTGCCACAATAAATATGTTGCAGGCCCAGGAAGTTGTCTCACTAACAAGGCAATCCCCAATGTCTGGATCGGATGCGGGAACAACTTTTTTATAGGTCTCAAAGGATAACTTTATAACATGCGCAGTGATGAAACAAGAGCTGAAACTGACCATATCTTGTCTTTCTTTGGCTCTCTCTCCCAATAGGCAAATGTGCTGCTTCTCATGAATTTACATGTAATTCTTTCATAGAACCATGCAGCGATGCATCAGTGTCATTGTTCAAAACGCTATATAGATCATGTAAATTCATGAGAAGTCATGTTCTGATACACCTCCCCGGGGCAGTGCCACTACATAGTGTCCTTAGGCCATTCCCAAAGGTGGACATATCTCGTTCTAGCATAGTAGAGTTGTAAATGGGCTGACTCATGTCACGCTCATCACTGTGCCTGATCTACAACAGGGAACTGCTGCGTTTTCTTTCCTGATCCTTACTATTGTCATTTTCCTCTACATCTTTTGTATGTTTGTCACACTCTTGTGATCCGCTATTTCCGGGGTGCCTTGATAGCCGAAGCAGACCTTGTGCTGTTGAGGCTAGAGAGGTGAGCAGAGCAAGTCCGATTCCCTGTAGGGACTTCTCTGTTGACACCCACCCCTTGGCGCTCGTATGACCTTATGCAGTTGCGAGCGCCGTAAAACCCTCCTCCAAAAAACAACTAAAAAACAACAACAAAACAAACATGTTCTGATAAATCCTGGTACCGTGTTAAAACAGTTAATGAACTGACACTTGAACCTGCTCACTGTGCTGCTGACGTATTTGCACACCTATGGAAAGGTGTGGCTCCTGGCTGCATTGACATACATTGAACGCCATACTTTTGTTCCTTTTTTAAGGCAATGGGTGACAGTGTAAGATACAGCAGATACTACATTGTTGTATTGCTTTATTTTGGAGAACATCCGAGCAAAAAGGAAAGAATGGCGAACCATGGTTGTCGATATCTGTCGCAGATGATGCACTTAATACATATAATGAAACATCGTTCGTATGGGATGGATTTAGAGCCCCAATACTATAACAGTGTACTTTAAGGTTATAATTTACTTGAAAAAAACAACAACAAACATAATTCATTAGGTATGACCTACGACCTATGCGTTGCAGACAAGTAACTGAACCGACACGCTTAATACTGGACCGACACCCTTACTTTTGTGTGTCCATTCGATGACAATCCGTGTGTGTGTGTGTGTATTTGTGTGTGTGTGTGTGTGTGTGTGTGTGTGTGTGTGTGTCTGTGTGTGTGTGTTTGTGTATGTGTGTATGTGTGTGTGTGTGTGTG